ATAAATTAAAACAAACTCAATCATTTCCATTGGCATGATTTATTGTAAAAGAACCTTTTTTTTCTGTCATAAAGCAGTGGTCAAACTATGGCTAAATGTTTGTAATTTACTTTCTTTTTTTCTCTCTTTCTAACAAAACTGGATAATAAAAGTCTTCAGTTTGGTACTTTGGTCTCGACTAGCCCTTATTTTGAAAAGCAGTTTTGTTTAAAAAGACTTCAAAATTCATTAGTTGTTTCATTTATTCTGGATATTAAAATGTCTTACAGTTCCAGTGTTAAATTTCATTAGAATTTATAGTTTAATGACCTTTGAGAATGTGTTCTTACATTATTATTTTGTCATTACTTAAAAAATGGTCTCAAAAGAACAATATTTTCGCTTGCCGAGTTAACTTCTGCAACAATTTATCATACAGTAACATTTTTCATGGTGACAGACCTATTCACACATCCTCCAGAATCTTCAGATTAAACTGTGTTTGTGTCTGGATCTCTGAAATCCACAGAGATCCCATTTTATCAGCTTTTAAACAAATGTATACCTCATCTACAAACCTGCTGTTCCTGTTTGTCTTCATTTCAAGTTGATTAATGTAGATGGTAAAATGTATTCAGATGGTTTCGATTTTCACAAGCAGTAAATTTCTTAATTGATATTTTGACACAGCTAATAAACACATAAAGAAAATAAATATTTTATGCATTTATTTAAAGCACCACTGCAAAAACAGCTTTCACAGCAAAACATTTAATGTAAAACATTTGATCAACATAAAAAGAAAAATTTTTACATGCATTGTGATGATTCAAGTAATTTTCATGTTCTGTAATGTTTTGTTACAGTCAGATTTTTCAGTGCATCAGCTGTTCAGGAAAATCAACATAAGTTTTTCTAACATTAACTGTCTATTTGTACTTTTCTCTGCATCTTCAGTCAATCTGCAGCAGCTGAGATTCTGGGAGGTTCAACACCAAAACCTGAAGCTTCAAACTGAGCCGTCGAGTGGACCGAGTCGCCTTTCAAACTACAGTAGTTAACCTGCTCTGTTGGTAGATGTCATGGTGTGCGATGTGCCCTTATTGCATAAGCAATACTGAAGAATGACTGCTATCATTAACGACACAGGGAAGAAGCTTTTTACTTATCTTGCTTTGCTAGCAAAGTCGTTAGCTAGCAGCTAATAGCACAATAAAAGTCTGCATGATAAAAATACTGAATCGATAGATAAGAACAATTTTTCCTCACCTGGCTGTCTCCTCCCGCTCAGTAGTTCTTCAGAGAAAGGCAGACGCAGAGGCCTGTCAGTGTCTTGGTATTTCATTACCTCTCTGCTTAAACCGCTACTCCGTGCTGAAGCAGAAACAATACTACAACGTTTTCTGTCATTTGACAAATAGCAAGTCTACTCCACTTTATTCACCAAAAACTTTTTTTTTCAATACACCAAAAACTGTTGCGTAAGCTGGAATGTTCGCTACGTTGAGCTCCAGTTAGCCGCCTTATCTCACTGTGCGAGAGGCAATTGCGTCATGCATCACGGGCAAAAGGTCAAAGGTACCAAGGTGACCGGCTTTTTATGATGTACAAAGAAACCCCAACAAAAAACCAAATAATTTTAGTACATGTTATTATGTGTCAGAAGAGGGCTTAGGAAATAATAATACAAAAACAATAAATAAATAAAAAATTGCACCAAAACGGCACTTGGGGGCAAGGAGCAAAAGGGGCAGGTGCTCAAGCACCCCCAGAGTCCCCTCTGCACGTGCCTGCACAAATCCTTTTACGCACCCACCGATCTTTTTACACACGCACAGATATTTTGAGACTATTTTCACTCCATACACTTATAACTAAGTTAGAAGACGTCTGAAGTATTCAGGGATTTTAACTATCCACATGTAGCTGTAGCTGTTCCCCATGAACACCGCAGGCCCACTGTAAGTCTCTTCATTTTTTATATAACTAACCGAGCCTTTCAGAAAAAGAACTTTCAGTCAAACATAGTGGTGACAGTTTGAAGGCCTTAATCTTTGCTGCTTCAAAACCTGGACAATTTACTGTAATTAATGAAACCACAAATTTTACTCTCGAGCAGAAAAACCTGAAGTAGAATGTCCAACTACATGTTCCTGACCTTAAGCGAAGAACTCCTGGGTTATGCAGCAGAACATTTCTCTATAGTTGACAGTCCCTCCAGGATTTTGCAATTGTTTTTGTAATTTTTTTCAGTATTTTTATTTTTATTTTTTCCGGAATGACTGATTTGTGGAGCTACTGGAATTACTGGCCAGAAGTTTGGCAATTTTTTTTCTCATTAAAGCCCTGCAAAAATGTATTTGTAGAAGAAAAAAGATGAGGAAAAGAAACAGGACATTTGCAGAGATGAGGCAAGTACTTTTTCAAAGCATTATGTAAAATAGTTATTTTTAACAGGCCATTAGCACCTACGCATTCTGGTTTGTCTCTCCTCCAAAGGTACGGTATTTCACTGAATTGCATCAGCATCCCCTTTAGGTTGACGATTACCAAGGCACCCAGAACAGACTGCCGTCACATAAAAAAATAGTTACATATATTATCATACACAGGAATCAAACTACAAAAATTTAGGGGCCTGCCAAAGTGTGTGTGTCGGTTGGAACCAGTGTGTTGATGCTGAAAATTTGCTAAAATGCTAAGGTTAGCTTAAATTCTGTCTGTAGTAGGTGAGATATCACTAGCATGTGAATTTACATTGAGTTCAATATTCTAAATGTGACTAGTATTTAAAAAATTTACAAAATGTGTAACGTATAACATTAGGATGAGATCTATCACTAACATGTGGAGCAACTAGCATGTTAACGCTATCAAATGTGAGATATCACTAGCCTGTTGATGAACAGGCTCCACTCAGTATGATAAAGATGGGTCAAAAATACAGAAAATAGCTAATATGCTTATTTTAGCAAGACTAATGTTAGCATGAGGGCTATCAATAGCATGCTGAGCAACTAGCATGTTGAAAAGAGTAGGATGTGAGTTATCACCTGTTTTTCTATTTAAAAAAGAAAACGACAACCTCACCCTTGGAAGTGGCTCCAGCAGGAACCCAAGGGCCACTGTTACAATCATTGCCATCATCGCTGAGACCAGCCCGGCAACCTGTTTTTGTAAAGTGAGTAAACTTTGAGTACAAGTGGAAGGTGGGGATATAGGACAGAGCATGCACAGTTCTGGACACATCTGACCTGCGTTTTGCCTCCAGAGCTCTCCTGCACTGCGGTCCTGGAGAGGGCCGTGCTGGCTGCGAAAGACCTGAAGGTTGCTCCGAATATGTTGCTAACCCCGAATGCAACAAGCTCCTAAGATAAAACCCCAACAGGTAAGGCAGTGCCCTTGTCAACAAAAAAGTATAATTGTTTTAGGTCAAATGATTCTTTACTGCATGTTTGAGTCATGCAACCCATCATATAAAAGCAATATTCAACCCTAAAGTTATGAGGATTTACACTCTCATTGTTGACCATCAGTGATCAGTTAACTCCATTTCTTAGAGCAGAGCCAAACTGTCAAGCTAGGATAGGCAAAGAGCGCACCTGGTTACCATCAATGGGGTAATCATGTTTGACAGAGTACACTTTGGCCACAGAAAAGGCCACAGCGAATCCTACAATGGCTACAGGAAAGGCCTCCACTGCACTCTCCTGGAAGACTTGGACGCTAGGAAGAATTGGAGACTCATACCTAGAATGTGAAAGTGGTTATTTTTTATTTTTAATAATGTACCTGATGAAATATCAAGAGGAAAGCATATATGAAGAACTTCAAACTTACCCCCTAACCATTGTGCCAACAA